TGAGTTTGAGGTTTTCTTTGCTACCCGAGTAAAAAGGAGCCGGGATAGCGTAGTCAGTATAGAGACTGGCTACGGGCTGGACGATCGAGGGGTCGGAGTTCGAGTACTGGTACGGTCAAGAATTTTCTCTTCTCCACATCCTCCAGACCGACTCTGGGGCCCACCCAGTCTCCTATCCAATGGGTACCGGAAGCTCTTTCCCCGGGCGTAAAGCGGCCGGGTCGTGAAACTGACCATTCACCTTAAACTAGTGTCGAAGTCAAGAAAATGTGCATCTATACATCCACTCCTCCAGTGCTTAATTAGTTAAGCAAAGAGACAACTTTACCTTTACGTTACCCCAGCAAGAGTTTCTTATAACCAACTTAAGTACGGTGTCATTAAATTTGAAAGGAAAATTCAATTACATTCGGTAACTGCGGTAATATGTCGACATTGCAACCAATACTCTCCATCATTAAACTGTGTACCTGGGACAGTGTTTAAACTCGCAATAAAATCTTAAAATTTCTCGCATTGCTTAACATCTCTCCGGTTTCCTTAATGTTCCTATACTCCAATCTACTACGAGAATGAGGGCGCGTCATCGTCAGCTCGTGACGTAGCTCGATACGTCTTCATCAGAAATTTACTAGATACTGTTTTCAACATACTTCCGGTATTCATACGCCGGTAGGAAATTCAACCATATTTATACAAGACTTCTTCCGTTAGATTCCCCACACAACGTATGAGGTACCATGTTTCCTGGCGTAGGTAGATTCTACGGTGTGTTTTTGTAACAGCACTTCCGTGAGGCAGTCTTATGCGTCATGTGTCCGCCCGACTTGCCAAGGTGAGGTCTGGCTAAGTAGGCCTCATTCATTCAAGTAGGCCTAAATCCTCTAATTGTGGTCGAAAACGGACTGGCTATGCACGGTATTCAATCTCACAGATAAATGGCACAGAATTAGTATTATTATTATTATTTAAAGTGCAAATGGGTTTTTACCTGCTGGCAGTGGTACTACTTTACTTTTACTTTACTTTATTTTTTTAAAGTTCCATAGATCCACAGTACATGTAAGATATAGAACATGTCGATACAATAATTAAACTATGTAGAATAATACAATCGTGAAAAATGTTGGATCCAGTGGTTGGTTCCAGTCATACATCATTTTAACAATATAATCATCAAACAGGAAGTAGTCGATTGTCCAATTGTAATACAGTCTTTGATTATAAAATACAAATACATATTACATGTTACATATACATATTAATACATATTGTGTTCAATGAATAAAAGAAAATTTTATGAATTCATCTATTGAAATTTCAAATCGTCTTCTGCTTAAAATACTCCTCCAATGTGTAAAATGAATAAAAATGCAGATAGNCGAGAAGGCCACAGGCTCTTCCAAAACAGTTCTTCCACTTAATGCGATCTCGAGCTTTCTCCTTCAAGTAAAAATATCCTCTTCTGTCCCCAAAGTCATCAAGCATCTTCTTACATCTTCTTCCTCGTCTTCTGGTCATTTCTATCCGCCCCTCCGGTTTGTTTTGTCTCCAGAGAAAACATCTCGTATACATGGTATCTCTGTTTTTGTAAAGAGACTATCCAGGAAAAATGATAATGTGGTAGTTCTTCCATTTGCTTTCCACATCGCAGTACAACAGCCGTTCAAACCACTCTGGTCACGCCTGTTGCTATACAAACTTGAACCATCTCAAGCATCATTTGCTCTGTGCTTCAAGTCGCTGCTGATGACGCTGCTTCTGGCATCAGTTTTTGGTGTCTCTCTTCGTCTGATGCCTACCCGTTGACCTGTCCAGCAAGGGAGGCCCTGCCAGTAGCTATGCTACCGCTGGTATAGCTCTCAGGGTCCTTGGCAAACTCAAACCCCCTCACCACGATAAGGTGGAGGCACCAACGAGGGGGTAGCACATAAAGTGCACACTAAACACGGTGAATACAAAGCAAATACAATTACAACTACAACCAAGTTTGACAGTTCTAAAATGTGTAGTACATTTAAACTGATATTGCAACAAAGAACATTAAACATACCAGCTAAGAACACCTTTAGGAAAAAAAATGTATATGGGGTGAGAAGCTTACACAACCAAATAAAGGGATTTTCACTGTATGGGATGGCAAGACTGACTGAACATCACAGTTACAGATGATAGTTTTCAGAAATTCTGGAACAGCAAAGAAATGTGGATTGTTTGGCACACAGGGTTCAGGTACTATTTTAACTGTATTTAATCTTAATGTACTACACTGTAAGCCTCTTTACCATGCTGCTGTAACAACCTGTGTTCAAACAACAACACTTGTAGAGTACTTGGCAACAATTTTACTTAACTCCTGTTAAACCAGTTATATCTGATGGACTTCTACAAGTCTATATATTAACAGATGTAATGATTCAATATGTCTCCTATAAAGACAGCTAAATGATAAATATATTAATTTTATTAGAATGAAAGTAATTCAGAGCAGGTGGTCTGTTTGTAATAAAGACATCTTTCTAGCAAAGAAAGGTAATTTTTGCTCACAATGGCACCAGTTCCTGATGTAAAATAGTGTGCAAGTTTAGTCTACAGTTGTGATGAGTCTGAAGGAGGCTCAGTGAAGGTTTAAAGTCTTTTCATTATCTTTGAGCCTTCACAAATGTTACAACACATTCACAGACTTCAATCTGTTATTCCACCTGTATCTTTGGCGAAAAGTCCCTTCTTCTAAACAGATTTTCTATCAATTAAGTTTTGATACACCTTTCTAAATGTTTTCACGTTCAGTATCGGCCTAAACCACAGAATATGGACCGACACTTAATATGAAGGCATAAAGACATTTTTAAATATACTTTGCTAATATCCACCAAAGGCAAAAGTAAAGTTGTCCCTGTACTGAATTAAACCACGCTATGAATGGAGGTATAGCTCTACTATTCATGACCTCGGCAGTAGACGGAGGTGAGTGGTCAGCTTCACGCCCTGGGTGCCTTGCTCCCCAAGGAAAGAACCCCCATACCTATTGGATAGGAGGCTGGGTGGGCCCCAGAGCCTGTCTAGATACTGTGGAGAAGAGAAATATCTTGCTATGCTGGGAATCAAATCCAGGCCATCCAGCCAGTAACCTGTCACTATACTGACAGAGCTACCCCGACTCCTAAACAACCATGTATTATTTGACATCAACTTTATTCACTTTGAAGCTTTTATATTTTAGTGCTCTCAATTAAATTTATGAGTTCTTCATATAAAGTCCATAAAATGAACACACATTAGGGAGGTTGACTCTGTCTGTACATTAATCTGCACATCTCACCTCCAGAACTAATGATCTTTCTTAAGGGGGTCTATACCAAATACCATCACATAAACTTTATTTTCAGTTTGTATGAGTTAAATGAAAACCCTACTTTACATGAATCTCGATTTAAATTTTTATATTTTCTTCGGAATGGCTCATCCTCCAATAATTTGTACAATGTATAAAATAATTTAATTAAAAATCTACAAGTTTTACTCTATTTTTCATGTGGTAAATATTTAACCAATTGCAAAGAATAATAATTCTATCTTTAGGCACTGTCAATAGCTTCACAACAATACACATTTGTACATCCAACATAGGGTAGTATGTAAATGCACAGCTTGCTTGGGCATGGACCTATGATCTTCTGCTTTGCATGTGTAAAGCCAGCAAATACTGAAACGGCCTCAACCTCACGGGTTTTGGCTCTATGGTCAAGGCTCCTGAAGAGTCTGGGCACATTAGGGATGCAGAATGGAGCCAGTAGACATTTCAGTGCTTGAGGTACTGGAGGCTGGCCCCCCATGTCAGTACACAGTACTCAAACTCCAGTGTTGCAGATCATTTTTTCTCTTTACATTGTTGAAGAGAATACCTAGCTACATGTTTAAAAATTAATCTGGTTTGATAGTTTGAATACAACAAAGTTTTTCAGAAAGATAATGAAAATTAATAAGAATCAATAAATATATACTAGTAACTGAAAATTTCAATATTAAAATAAAGTAAACAGTGAATATCTGGTATATTGGACTATGTTATTAATATGCATGTTATCTTAGTTTCCCCACAAAATAGCCCCACGTCCTAAAATATGGAAACCCTACTGCTAGTAGAGGTATAGTACTATCTACAATATGCCTTCCCTAGATCTGTGTACGAATATTACCACGTTTCAATGCGTGCAGCAATCTTCATGGCATAACTGTCAAAACTCATGAACGTTTTTGACAAACATCAACAGATTTTAAGCAAATAATTTTACATTTATATTTACACAATTCATAATCAAGAAGTTACTTAAGACTGAAAAAGGTATACATTCCATGTAAGTAACTAATAAGCAAATACATACGTTACACAATTTAAACGCGCTGGAAAAAACTTTTCTTCTTTAATCAACTTCTTTAATCCTATTTCTCTTTCGAAATATATTATAACACGCTTCATCCGCGCGAAATGCAGGTTCATGTGTAATAAAACAGAGCTGTAAATAATTATCAGTTTTTGTAACGAGAATATACATTTCAATGTCAATTATTTATTAAATGCAAAAGTTCAATGCCCCTACAACGCGGGAATATTCGCGGATCTCATTGGATAAGGTAAGACGTAATTTTAACTATTGGAACGAATATAATCTCGATACAATCGAATCAAATTTCACAAATAAATCATTATAACTGTTGATTTAAAACCACCAAGCTATTAAGAAGATTTAACAGTTCGTGTAGGTGCATAAGCGCAACTAAAAAGTGCCAAGTAATTCTCCACGACCGAAGAACAGACACGGTTATCTATTCTGTTACTCATCCTGAATTGTTGAATTTACATTAATCTACTTACGTCTCTAGAACAGAAATTTGTATATGCTTAATTAGCCATCAAGAATATTCTGTGGGCATTAAAGGAAACAAATGAAAGGCAGAACATACTACGTGCAAGTATACTATTCTACAGATAAACTCACATTGCTTCCTGCTGTGCAGATGTAAATATTACGTTGCGTATAGTAAACTTCCATTCAACCCTACTGCGATGTTTTACGTGTTACATGAAATAGAACAGTGCATAAAAACATACAAATACCTCCTATTTTTCTGAAGAACTGTAGGAGCTCATATCTCTAAAAAACTTATTTAATCAGACACCATATGCGCTTGCAACAGCTGACAAATGACTACAAAACTTGCCATATTTTATTTGAAAGCACAATACTTTGTATAGTGACATTTCAGAAAACATTATTTTCCGAGACCGAAACTATGACATTATACATTAATTAAAAAGTTGTTAAAAGTAAATCGTATAAGGTTTACTAGAATGATATTATATATACATGCACCTGAAACATGGTTTAAATGTTTGAAAGCAGGTCGTCTTAAATTAATGTTAAATTGTTTTGGACTACGTAATCACGGAGTACTGAGGTCAATATCGCAACGTTGGAGATTTCATAGTTACAGTACCATCTGTCGGAGAGGAATACTAATTATAATGAGGAATAAAGAAATATCGACGATCTCGATATGTTGAGAAAATCACACAACACAGTCAAAGCAATGTGAAATAACGTACAAATTCGACACATCTGTTCGTGTATATGTTACTTGGACACGAAATAGTTCTACATTGTAGAACACTACGAAGTGGGCGATAGTGAATTTCTGCTATTCCAATGATCTATGTATTTCAATTTGCGATTTATGGATGTTAGGATTAATGTACGAACAGGAGTATGGAGCTCACTTTCGTGCCCTATTTTAACAACTCTTCCTGCATTTGACGTACAACTAGATTATATTTTATCTAGTATGTTCTGGTATGGATGCAGGATATTGTGGACAGAGAAAGTGTAGTACAGTCACGGATTGTACACGTTTTGTAACATTTACTAATCCGTGAACGTGAGATGCAAGCGCCAACTGCATTGATGTCTTCTGCCATCTATGAACAGCGATCATACTGTAACGTGTCGGCTATATGACGTGCCACGAATAAATTGTGTGGGTCTTCGAATCGGCACGAATTCTTTTATTGGACGCTAATTTGTACACACACTCGTACAATTATTCATTATTATATCGTTTTTCTTTTATTGCTAGTGGGGTGTGACTAAGTCCCTTGTACTGCGACCACTTCTGGCTTATTGTACCAGCCCCAGATAATAGGTGAGGGTAATTGTGAAGCAATTGGTGGAATGAAGATTGGCAGGGGAAACCGAAGTACTCGGAGAAAACCTGCCCCAGCGCCACTTTGTCCACCACAAATCCCACTTGACCAGACCCGGGATCGAACCCGGGCCGCCGCGATGGGAAGCCAGTGACTAACCGCTTGAGCTTTGGCGCGGCCTTATTAAACTGTTAGTACACACTGGAACTCTTCTGCGAAGTCTGAGCACAACCTGCTTCTATCTCACTAGAGTCGAATCTAAAACTGTGAGTACAAAATTCAGAATCTCTACTGTGATTTACAAACTGTGATTTCACTCGGAATCTCTTGTGGTACTTCTAGTATTCGTGATACTGACCTCTCGCTGGAGCTACACTCCAGCGTTCGGACGGGATGGGGAATACCTTATCGAAAGGTTAATTTCATCCGTTGCTTAGGATATGCTAGCCTTAGGGCCCCCAAACAGACAGTTTGGCCTCCAGTTTGGCCTGCATAGTTGAAGTCTGAAAGGTAGAACTGACGTGTGTGGTGCGGCCGGCCGGCCAATCGTTCGGACTGTTGGCCTGTGGGAAACCCGTCAGTCCGTCAGTTCTGCCTGCAGGACCCTAGCACGTGACGTATGTGACTCAACATGCTCAACATTATAGGCTGGAAGGCCGTGATTGTGGCACGAAGCCTGCCGCTTTATCTGCGCGTGTATGGGGAGGAAAGGGACGGGGTAAACTGTCACAGTTTTGCCTGTAAGGTCGATCGGAAGGCCAAAGTGTGTGTGGGGGGGGCCGTACTCAATACGCAACACCTTGTAGAAGTATTTGGTTTCATCCGTTGTTACTCAACGAACCCTCTGTTGTCTTTTCATCTCCGGGAAATCGCGTTTGTTGTTTGGACAATTCTAATGCAACGGCCCACTGTTAATTTCCATGGAAATATCCCTCCCCGATCCACGACATGCAGCAATACTGTTCGCTGGTCTGTACAAATCTTGCCTGACGTTCTTGACCTTCTTGACCTTCTTGACATTTCGGCGGCTACCGTGCCTACGGTGACTACATTGCTAGTCTATAAGGTAGTTGAGTTTGCGGCGGTTTCACGTGATGGCGGGAACTGTAGGGAGACGGTTGGTTCGTGCACTGCTTAATGTTCATATATGCAAGCAACCAGGACTGCATGGAGCCGGTTCTAAATTAGGACATAGGTTTGAAAGTACATATAAGGCAGCTGTTCTTCAAGAATTTAAAAAGGATTTAGTAATAAAAGAACAGAAACGAAGAAAACTTCAAGAAGATGAAGTGAGTAAGTTAGGTTATAATTTTGTAAATATGGAGATAGAAGACTCCGATTTAAATTATTTAGCCAGGTAGGACCGATGATTTGGTTAGATGTTTCTGGACAGTTCTTATATAGGAGCTGACTATATACCTTCTTGCCCTCAGTTTCAGAGACCCTATCATGCGGAATTGGTTGTGCTGTATTCCATCGGCTTTTCCTGTAGTTTAATGTCTTACTAATTCTGGTTATTTTCTTTTTAATATTTCTTGTATTGTTACATCTCTGTATTACTGTAAATCCATATTGAGGTTTGGTTCTGTTTTGTTGGTATATGTAAATGCATTAATAGATAATATAAAAGGTAAAGTTGTTTGTGTTCTCAACTAATTAAGTACTCCACCATGAAGGCATATGGGGGAATGGATGTATAGATCCAGAGCCAGCCTGGATGACATGAAGAAGAGAAAGTTCTTTGACTTAATGGGACTCGAACTTGACTCCTCGGTCTTCCAACCCATGCCAGTCACTATACCAGCTACCCTATCCTGTTTGACAAAAGAAAAGGAGAGAGGCTGGCTCCTCACATCAACACTTCCTGCATGTGATTGGGCCTGTATCACAGTTGACAAACCCACAGGCCAGCAGAACACAAATAAAACCCAACCAGATCACAGCAGATACCAGAAATTATTGTTGTTATGCACACATTTGTTGCACATCATGAAATATGGGTATTCATTCATTTTGAAAACAGAAAACTTGAAAATTTGAAACCTAGCCTCCTTTGCAAGATGTCTGAGTGATTTTCAAGGGGAGTGTTCAAGCTGGCACTGATTTAGTCCAATTTATGTCAGAATCTTCTCCTTAGTTTACTTACACAACCACCTTTCACATAGGTATCTTACATGAATACTGGTTACTTCATTGCATAACTTACATGGGGCATTTTGAACCAGGAAATAACCGAGTCATGACTGCTTAGCACACACATATCCAGTAGCAGTAGCAGTAGCAGTAAAGGCTTTGGGTTTTGTCAGTGTGCTGGAATGTTACACATAAGCTCACTTCATGGTAGTTGTTAGTGATTTACTGGGGTGATAGAGAAGGAAATTTATAATGCGAATAGGCTCTTGGTTTGTTGACCAATGACACGACCCAGTCTGATGCACATACTGCATGGAACTTCTGCCTGAACAATTGAACATCTCTGTAGGCAGGCTCCCAAATGACCTTCATGTAGATCGGCTAGTTTACTCCTATGCCTCTCTGACAAGCTGCTTGGTGGCAGTGTACTAGAACAGGTAGTTGATAAGTAGGGCCCAGATCTTTATGCGCTAAAAACACTTAAAATATGTGCTAAAAAGCAGGAAAATATGCACCAAAAACAAAACAATATGCACTTAAGAAGCAGGTCACTTTATTCAGACTCGCCTATTTACATGTATCATTCACTGCAGAAAGTAGCATCACAACAGGCAACTAGAAGTCTTTCAGTGTTTTCTGGAGACAAACTGCGTCTATTGTCCGTCAAAATGAGTTTATAGGCTGAGAATGATCTTTCTACATCAACTGACGTGATTGGACAATATTTATACACTGGCACCGAAGGTTCGGAACATTCATCTGGCAAAGATACCCTAATTCCACTCAAGTACTGACTGATTGACTGAATATTTTTCAGTCTTCGGTTCGAATTGAACACCTTTTCTAACTTGAATTTAATTTTCTCTCCAATTTCGCCTGGAGCGGAATTCAGTGAACGAGTTGAAGTGAGTTGTGAAGGAGTGCACCACAAAATTCTAAGCTCCCACTGGCTTTTGAAACTGTAGAAAAATGTGCATGAATAAAATTCACATCTTGATAAACAGTATCACTTCCAAACACCACTTTTGCTTCACGGACACATGCATACTCATCTTCAAGTTTTGTAACCACTTCTTCTACTTGATTGAAATTCTCCTGATAAATGAAACTGTGGATAACCATGTCCCCCACCTAGTTAGGACAGGTTCAGGTGGCAGAGGAACCTGAGGTAGGCAATCTTTGTAGAACTGGACACGAGCTGGTGCTTTCAGAAACATTTTTTCCCACTTGCAATTAAATCGTTAACAGCTGGAAACTGTGCGCATATTTTTCTGCAATATGGTGTAATCTGTGAGCTAAACAGGTTACGTGTGTAAGATTTGAATAAAATACTTGTAAGGCCTCTGCTGCTTTCAACATATACAAAGCTCCATCTGTGAGTTATACAAGCACCTTACAACAATTCTCGATTTCAGATGGTCATAGTAGTCGCAGAGAATCATTTACACATCTTGCTATTGTGCTATGGTTGGTTTTCTCTAGTATTCTGCAAGCAGGAAGATGAGGGTTGCCGGGTTCGTCTGAATGTAGCTTACCAACTACGAAATTTGCTATGCATCGGCCACATAAATCGGTTCTCATCCTTAATTTTCCTTAATTTCAAACATATGTGCAGAAATATGCTCTTACGTTTAGAATATGCAGTAACGACCAAAAACCCTCAAATTATGCATTTGAATATGTGCATATGCATTTTCAAAAAATCCGGTCCCTATTGATAAGTATACAGTTCCTTATTCTTTATAATTTTCCTTTGTCATTTCAGGTGAATACCCAGATAATATTTAACAAACTTCTTCTAGACACTTCCATTTAAGTTTGTAATAAATAATGACCCTGTTATTTTGTATGTGACACTGAATAACCCCTGCAGTGCTACAGTGTCATGAAATATCTCAACCAGATTAATGGTTTTATGTAATTCCCTCAGCTGGTTGTTATGATTCTGATGGTTTTTACCAGGGCCTGGGTTTTGATGACCTGAAAATATTAAAAAAATGACTGAAAAAACCAGAAAAATGACCTGAAATATGGCCCAAAAATGTAATATGTTACAATATCTACTAATTATTTTAAAATGTATTTTTAATCTTTACTAACACTGAACTCATTTTACTCTTTTAAGTTTGTCCTCATTTTTATGTTGAGAATTAAGTAATTTTGATTGAATTGGAAGCTAAATGTTTTAATATGATTTTTTCTGTTGTGTTAGAATGCTTATCAAATGTACATATACGGTATATATTCCAACATTTAAGTCTTACCTCATTCAGAGGTGCAATAGATGACAGTCAACATGCGGAGAGATTCTCAAAAGTGAGAGTGTGCCTATTGTCCGACAGCACATTCTTGTACTTGAAGAAGCTCCTTTCCACATCTGCAGACACAATGGGAGCATACTTGAAGTGTACCAAATCACTAGCAGTAAGTTCTTCAGTACTGAAAGCGTTGAAGGACTCTCCTGACAATTCGAGAAATGCTGCATAATGTTTCATAACCTGAGTTTTTATCCAGAACACTTATCATTTTTCTTCACACAATTTTACCAATGTCCCCTGACACTTTCTCCAAATCACTGGCTATTTCTTTCACCAGAGTGAGCGAATCTTCTAGCGTTGCTCCTTTCTCCTGCAAGCATTGGATTCCTTCTGTCAAGGAACTGAAATTTGCCTTTATGAAGTCCGGCTGTTCTTCCATTTCGATGCATGAGAACTGTTTCCGAGCAGCTTCAATTGCCCTTGCATCCTCCATCTTCATTGAATCTACAATGTTTTTCACTACCTGAAAATTATTGCAATAGTAAATTGGAGCATCAGTCCACGTTCCCCACCTTGTAATGACGGGTTCTGGGGGCAGTGGTACACCAGGAGCCATAGACTTAAAATGCATTTTATGAGCTGGAGCCTTGACAAAAATCTTCTTCGTCCTCGACACGAGAGCATCCACTTGAGGAAATTTTGATCTCACTTCCTCTGTCACTCTGTGCAGTGCATGAGCTAGGCAAGTAATGTGCACCAAATTTCGTATAAAACGACTTTATTGACTTGCCTGCTTTTACAATATATGGGGCTGCATCGGTCACAAAAAGCAAGATGTCGTGTCGTATACCCTCTGGCAACAGTAGAAACATTGACCTGTTGAAGAGTTTACAAATTGTGGAATGATTAACGGATTCTAGCACCTCACTCGTAAGCAGAAACACTTCACCTGGTCCACCAATTTCCAAGGTCCCAATGATGACGTTTGCCACATAGCGAGCCTCCGTATCGCAGGTCTCATCAATGGAAACGAAAATCTTCTTCCCATGCACTTTATTCCTAATCATTTCCAGGATACTGTTGTAGCGCTGGGAAAGGTAGTTCTTTCTGAGTGTGGATTCATCCGGGATGGAACGGCCACAGTTTACTTCCAGAAAAATTTTCAGTTTTCCATTGTTCAGAGCCCAAAATGGAATATTTGCGGATGCCATAACATCATACAAATCTCTGAAAAAATCCGATGACTTATTTCCACCTCCAGATGAACACTGTTGCAGTAACATTTGCACAGGTTTCTTTTTGTTCGAAATTTGCACTGCTCGTATATGCTTGTTGCGGCCAGTATATTGTTGTATCGTGAATCTTTTTTCTGCCACTACTTTTGTGTCACACATCTTGCATTATAAAATGTCACCATCAGTTGAAATTATATCATCTGCAAACACAGCTACAAATTGCTTTAAATGACATGATTTAGTTGGCTTTGCTTTTGGCATCGTGATAAAATTAATCACTCTAGCGCAACACAGAACTGAACTTTTCTCACCGAGAACCTTTCGTCAACTGTATCTTTATCTGTACGGTCAAGGGCGAGGAACTGAAGACAGAAGGAGTTTTATTGAACAACAATGTCATGTGAAGCAAGAGATTCCGACTAGAAATATGTGTAACTAAGCAAATTGCTTTGTACAAAGAGCCACAGTGTGAGTAGTCATCACCGTACCCTGTTTTATGATATGTATTGTCAGCACTTCCGCGAAACGAGCAGAAAGGATGGGCCAGGATTACAGCCTATTATTTTATACTGTGGCCTTTGTAGAGAGCGCTTAGGAGAAAGAGAAAGAACACTTTGCTTCCATGTTATTCACATTTCAGAAAACGTATGAAGAAAAATTCCCTAAAATGGCCAAAAATGTCAAGAAATACCCTTAAAAGCCCAAAAAATTACCCCCAAAATGAAAAAATGACCTTAAACCTAAAAATGAGAAAAAATTACCTATAAAATTTACATTTCTGTAACCAGCAGCTCATATCCAAAATTTATATATTTAAGAGCATTGCATAGGATACCAGGAAAAAAAGATGACATGTCATCAAAATCCGGGCCCTGGTTATTACTCGTATGGTCAGATTTTTCATTCCTGTTTTGTTACAGTGTGATGTAAATTAGTTGTTGGCATCCCCCCTCCTCCACAGTAAGACAAAATTAAAAGGAATTCACAGTTTATTCATTTGGATGGGAGTTTTAAAATTTTGGGTGAATAACTTTACTACTAATACTACTACTACCACCACCACTGCTGCTACTGATGGTTCTTCTTCTTTTGTTATTACTGTTATGGTTCTTTCAGTCATTAAAATAATAGTTGCCTTCATTGTAAATGTATATATTTTACTTTTCTCTGTTTACAGTAATAACCATAGTTTGTATTAATGAAATTATTGTTGTTGTTCGTGTTATATAAATTAATTTTTTTGTGTTTTGCACAAACTCTATAATTTGCTTTTGGGCTGTTAAGTTAGCATGTAAATAAATAAGAATTGAATTTATCATCATCATCATCATCATCATCATCAGTAAATAAGACTTTTTATTGTTGTTGTTGTTTGTTTGTTTCCTTATCTGCATTAATGTGTATTCTTCAGTGCTTACCTTTATATATATTAATCACTATGTGTTTCAGTCTCTTAACTACTGTATCATCAGGTGTGTGTGTGAATAAAAATGATAAATATACTATGGTAATGCTGTATTATATGATGAAAGAGCAATGTTTTATTATGATTTTTCAGGTTCGTATTAAGGTGAACTGTTGTGGTGTCAATGCTTCTGACATTATGATATGTCAAGGTTTGCATGAAATTTCTCCAAAACTTCCTTTTATTCCTGGCTACGAAGTGAGTGGAGAAATTTTGGAGCTTGGTTCCAAAGCTGCTAAAGAACTTAAAGTTGGCAGTAAAATAGTTGGCCTTAACAAAGACCTCTTTTCTGGATTTGCAGAAGAGTGTGTTCTCTGTTCAAAGGTATGTTATGTTCATTTATGTTTCCAAGTGTGTATTTTTACAGCATGTTCACTAGTTCCTTTAAACAAGTTAGTATGTTTCTGTGTTTAGAAACCGCATAAGAAATGTAACACCTATCCATCCATAAATTTTGTCCAGTTTATAATTTTTTAGCCACAGTGATACTTATGAGTAATGACATGGGGGCTCCAGTTGTCCAGAGCACTCAGATGTAATGATACTTAGGGCTGAACAGATTATTCTTCCCTACAGTCAGATGTATTTTGTGAATTCTGTACATAGTACCCGCCTAAATATCAGGCAGCCGAAGTTGTTAATCACGTAGGCTTGTGTTTATATATGTGTAAACTCTTTTGTTTGTTCTGGTAGAGTCCTGTGTCTCTGTGCTTGGCTGCTAATGTTTAATTGTGATTGTGATATTCACAGGATGCATGGCAATTACCGTCTGATGTGAGTTTCCAGACAGCTGTTGCTCTAGCAGAGTCATACTCAACAGCTCTCATTGGCTTAGTTCGACGAGGCAAGTTAAAGAAAAGTGACACAGTCTTGATAACAGCAGCATCTGGAGCCTTAGGCCTTGCAGCTGTTGATATTGCAGCCAACGTATATAGAGCAAAGGTGAATATGGATGCAGAGTATTAAATCATTTTCATCACGAAATGTTCATGGATTTAAATATGGAGTAAAGTATGAAATTTGATCTGTTTCTTCTGTCAGAATATGTTTCTCTTTACAATAGAAAGCCCATGTTAAATGGATCTCTCACTACTATGGAGTGGTGTGTCCTCAGTTTGCAGATGCTGTGGGTAGCAAATATGTTAAATATGCTGTAGCAGTGGTCATTCAACCAGAGTGCTGCTTGACTAACAACCACACACTCTAAAAACTAATGTACATGTGTCCCTTGATTTATGAAGGTAATTCATTCCATGAAAACTACACATAAGGTGGTAATTCATAGATTTAAGATTAAATTCCCATTACTTTACACATAAAATTTACCAGACTTAACGACTGTAAGTTGTTTTGAAAATTGTGTTTATTATATGAAAAATAGGTAGAAATTAATACACTTCTTTGCCTCAAAAATGAATAAATTTAGTGTTTATAAAATGGTGGATACCTGTGTTACAAACTTTCACAAAAGATGTTAGACTTCCGGGCTTCTGTGGTACAACCAAAGGAACAGAAAATAATGGATTCAGAACTTGTGTGGCAGGAGTCTGCAGGGCTTGTTTTTTGAAATTAGTAGCATCAGGAGTTGAATGTGGAATTAAGTGCTATTGTTCCTGAAATGTTTACTTTACTTTACTTTACTTTATTTATTGCATTCTGTCAATCCATATAAGGTGAAACCAACCTGTTGGATATAGAATCTGTCATGTTTAAACATAAAATAATAAAATATACATTCATAACCATGTTTGAACATAAGATAATAAAATATACTGTAACGTGTTTCGTTACTGAAGACGCCGTTCGGATTGTTAACTGATTTATTTAACAACCTACAAGTAATGGCTACAATTATTTATAACACAGTTGCGGGGTTTCACACTTTATAACCCTAATCTCATTAATCTGTTCACACTGTTGCGGGGTTTCACGATTTATAACCCTATTCGCAAATCAGTTCACTCTCTCTTCAGTAGTCTACACGTTTACAGTAGGGGAGCTATGTATCACTGTATCACACACTCCCAATTACACAATTACACACACGTCCTGTTCTTCTTNCTGCTGGGTAGGGAAGGGTTCTCCATTGTGCAACATGTCACACTGCTCCCTCCTTAAGGATGTTCGTTGTATCCCTGTTAATTTTCTTTGGAGGCTGTTCTTGCAGCATCTCCTGTTTTGGCTACTTCTCGCAGCAACTGTCATCCGGCCGTTACAACAGCTCCCCTCTCAAGACCTGCTCGTCTCGAGCGGTTTCCTTTCAGCTCGCCAGAAGATCCGGTTGTGTCCCATTCATCCATCACTTTCATTCTATGGCACATTCACTCTCTCTGGGGAGGCCGGTTCTTCTATTTTACCGGCTCCTCTTCTGTGCCCTGCTTCTTTTTTCGTTTTGGAGGGGGTCGACCCCTCCATAATGACCACTCCTTGATCAAGTTTGTCTTCGGAGGTTCCTTATGTTGACGTAACAGCCCTTGATACATTGTTTGCACTTGCTGACGTCGTCGTTCCTCCTGGTCTTCCAGCCGCTTGCTGGCACGAGACCGTGGCGCCAAGTCCTCTCTCCGGCTTCCAAAGGTTCCCTGAGGAGTTTCCTTGTTGAAGGCATTTCTCCAACTTCGTGCCACTGTCGTGCGACGGGATGTCTCCTTGCAAGGGGCAGCCAACTTCTTCTGGGGTCCACTCTTTTCCCGCGTCGAATTCTTCATATTCCGCTTCTTTCGGTCCATATGCCTTTTCTTCTTCGGTTCTCTGACCGGCATTACTTTGGCGTCTTGTATGGGTACCTCTCGTAA